CATTCATGTAGTTGTAAACAGCATGATAATATATTAAGTAATCCAAAGTATTCAGAATACGTTACTCTCATTGCGTAACGTAACGGAATACGTTACAGAATACATTTTGGGGCATGTATTCTGTAATCTGTAATGGAATACATTTTAAAAGTAACCTTCCCAACACTGGGTACACTGTAGTCATGAAGGGATGGAGGTGGTCCCTGTTTAAATGATGATCATTTAGTACTACAGGGCCCAGTGTATGTCAAGAAAATATCCCCCCTACACCATCACTGCACCACCAAAAGCCTGAACCATTCATACAAGGTTGGATGGGTGCTTTCATGTGGTCTATGACTCTACCATCCAAATTTCACAAGCCACCAAATCACAGCTAAAGTTTTTTAGTGACGTTAGTTTCTTTTCCCACAAAATTTCCAATACTTAGCCTTAAAGTCATAAGGCAAAAGTCACAACCACAATAACAGATTTCTTCCTTAATAGCAGTTTGATTTAATTATCATTAACACCGGACCCTTTGATCACCAAACATCTGTTCACTGATAGGATATTAACGCTCTTAGATTTGTATGAAATGAGGTCTGATGCTGATGATAAAGGTTTAAATGAGTCTAATAACTCTAAAAATGTGCTTCTTCTGAAACACTCCTTAATGTCCTTGAAAGAAGGAAGACAAAGTGTACTGCTCCTAAATTTATACGCAGTTACCAACAGAATCAACTCACCTGTACTGTATTGTTTCTGATGTGGTTGAAGCTCTTAGTTTGGTCATAAGAATTCGAACTATATTGAAGAGGAAAACAAAGTTTATCTAGAAGAAGAAGACATAAGGAAATTATTACTTTAAAATGCTGTGCTAATGACTTATATTATACAGAGGGGAAAAATATCAGACAGCTCAGTCAGTGTTGAGCTGGGAGAGACGAAGTAACACCAGTCAAAGCATATAATCTTCCTTAACAAGACAGTGATTAATCATATTACATGTTGCTAAGGACTTACATAAGGACTTACATAAGCACAAACATTTATGTGAAATCAATTTCTTATTTTCAGAAGTCTTTTGTTTGGAAACCCTTAAGACTACAGTTCTGTGCAAAAGTCATGAGTCATCCCTCATTTCTTTATATTTAGCTTCAAAGGAGTCAGACAGAAGTTTTTCTTTGGACATTGAGTCCTTTTTAATTCATTTTCAGTCCAGTCCTTGCACCTGACCATTTTCAGTGGGATGCTTTTTGTTTGTCAGTTCACTTAATGCTGACCACTGGCCACATGTAAAAACATGAAGCTGCGTCCTGCTTTGGGGCTGTTTTTTTCATATGGAATCAAAAATGTAGAAAAGTGAAATTAATTGATATTGATTAACTATGTAATATTATATCTAAAGCATCTGATTGGCAACAGCTTGTTTTTTGGTTTTTTTTTGTATTTCAAACGATCAATATACTAAAGTCCTACCTGGATAGAAAAACACAGTGGAATACTATTAGTCATGGATTGGCCTCCACAGAGCTGAGACCACAACATTGTTGAAAAAGTGTAAGATCATCTTCATGGAGAACAGAACAAAACACAACATCCAAAGAAAAGCTTTTGATGTCCTTCAAAGAAGCCTAATTCTGAAGACTACTTAAAGAAATTACAAAAAAAGCTTATCTAAGAGAGTCCAGACTGTCCTGAAGAATACTTGAAAGTCAATATGTTGGTATGACCAGCTGGTCGTGCTGCCTTTGAAGCTTGCTGGTATTGTAAAAGTACTTTTTCGAGCCTGAAGGCTGCTTAAAGGAATTGCTGGAAAGCTTGCCGAAGAGAGTTCAGGCTGTGTTGAAGAAAAAAGGTGGTCACACCAAAAATGTTCCATGATTGCATGTTTCAATAAATGACTGCACAAAATATTCAAAAATGAGGGGCTCAGTACTTTTGCACTGTACTGCTGTGACTTTCTAATCTAGTCACTGCACAGAAATGCAAAAAAAATCAGTATAGGGCAGATTTTCTATGTTAATTAGCAAATAATGTCAAATTGATGGCAATAAATTTACAGTCCGTTTTCTTTGTTGTAGCTCACCAAAAGCACAAGAATAACAGGTCCCTGGTAAATGTAGTCCATGTATTTTCCAGGTTCTTTACCAAACCAGCATCTGTTGACAGGAAAAGAAGAAGAAATGTACCATTAATTAAAGAAATCATCCAGAAAACATTCAAATTATGTGGCCACAAATTATTAGGAGATTTCTTACTGTTCATTTTCATAATACAGCTTTCCTATGGCCCAAGCCACAATTATAGGACATGGAATACCTGGAATAACAAGGAAGAGTCGTGTAAGTGGAAATAAAATAAAACGTATTTGGTAAACAGATTTTCTTTTTCATGGCATTGAAGACAGAAGGTCAGAATAATAAAGACGAGAATCAAAGATAGTTTTTTTTTTCTTTGCTTTTCGGTTTTTGTTTTGTTACATGCACAGTCATGGGGAGGGGGAAGGGATAACAAGCTAACACGCTTCAACTACAAAGAATAAAGTTAGAACATGCTCCAATTTTTACTGCCCTCAAGGGTTATAGTGTAACGGGAACAGTAGCATAATCTCTGCCAAAAGGGGCTTCAGAGTCATACCATATAACTCGTGAATTACAACTGCTTCCCCTAGTCCAGCATGTAATGTATATCTGGAAAAATGTTTGATGTTGATGCTTTGACAAAGTAAATAGAAGGTTTTTCACATATAAAACAAACAACATGCACGTTCAAATCAAAACAATCTTTTTTAACTGCTTTAATAAAACGAAAAAGGACCATTCACCATACCTCTAAAATTAGTCACTGCTGAATAAAGGCCATGCGTTAACAACGTGTCAAATCAGCGTGTTAAATCAGCGTGTTAGGTGCCAGGCCTGACAAGGTAAGACCAAGTGTGCTTGAATAGGCTGAGATTTCTTATAAAAAGCATTGACCTCTCCAGAAAAGAGCAACTGCACTGACCGTATCAATCAAACGCGAATGCAATCATCGTTCAGAGCATACTAATTTTATTAGCTGTCTTCAGCCTGTTTTTCATCAAAGTCTTTTCGTTACATGTAACATGTAACGTTAAAGTGAAAAAGTAAAGAATATCTCACTGCTGCCCAAAAGCAGTCCAGACCACGGGTCAGGGAAAGTCCACTCCTTTTCAACATGCAGCTGAATTTATTCGCGTTCCCTCTGCGACTAACTGAGCTAAATATCTTCCAGGTAGCTTATCCAGTGCATAAATCAGAAATATTAAAAGCAGACAGAACACTGAGCAGATGTAGTCAAGCTTTGCAGGAGGAAAATGTCCACAAATTGGACGAAATGTTCGTAAATAAAAAAAGAAATAAAACACACATCAAAAGCAGTTTTGATCCCAGCTCATCAGACCTGTCGTAGCGGACAGATTTCATGCGCCCCACTTCTATCACCTCCTAATGAAATGAATTAGAAGCCTCTCCAAATGAAACCCAGTGAGAAAGCACCTGCAATAACCCCATTTAAAATAAAGCATATATTATATTGTACATACTCCATGATCGTTAATATGAAATTAACGACTTAAATGGATAATACTTTATATATGGAGGTGGAGTGGATGAGTGGACTTGCAAATAGGAACTACTCTGCTAATCTAATCTTTATGAGACAAGCTGTCAGTACTTACTATTATATTCTTATTAAAATCATATTAGAGAATTAAAAATCTGATATGTGTGAGATCTTTTTTTCATTTCTATTTCAAAGCTAACATTAGCTTCCCAATAATATCATCCATCTGCCGTTCACCGCCATCTACTCTCTACATCTGCTAATAAGACATCATATTTTAATCTTGTGCTCACAAAGCTCCATTAACTCATTTTCTCATGACCTAGTTTGAAGTAAAGTATGAGGGTTTTTTTCTTTCTGCTGAGCACACTGTGTCCATTACATAAACAGAAGCAGAAAATCTCAGTGTTTCCGGGAAGCATGCGAGCAGAATACTTTGTGTATTTCTGTCCCTGATGATGTTGGCTCTGTACAGCATATAATATGCTTGATTTATCAGTCAAGGTGAGATAATTTATAGGGTCATGATAGGATATCTGCTGCATATTCAGGACTCAAAGTCAAGCACGCTGCATGCCGGTTCTTTCATTAAATTAAAGTCTTATCTCGGATATGAACCACTAAAGAGTTTCCCTCCTCTTCACTGGAGAAGTGATTGTACTCTCGGGCACATGTTCAGTTCAAACAATAACGCCTGATAACAGTGTTTTGTCACAACCTGGTTTTCAATTAATGCAAGAAAAGTAAAATTCTCCTTTTGAGTATATGTATGGTTTGACAAACTGTTGTTTTTCTAATTTTGAGCACATTCACCAGTCACTCTGTTAGTTACAGCTTGCTAGCGCCATGTTGGATCCAATTTTGCCTTTAAAACTGCCTTAATATTTCATGGCATAGATCAAACAAGGCTGAATTCCTCAAAGCTTTTGGTCCATACTGACATAACAGCATCACACACACAAAAAAAACAAACGTGTCAGAGTCAGCTCTACAAAAGACAAGCGAGTATTAAAGGAGTGATGTTTTGTCACTGTGGCAGGTAATTTCAAATGCAGTGTTTCTATCAGCTTAACAAACAAACTGTCTGTGTGCAGTTTATTTCGCAGTTTTTTTTCTAGCTGAAGGTCCAGCTGCTGTATTTCACAGGGAGAGAAAAGAAAGAGAGCTAACGTCACTCAGAGAAAGATAAGAAAGGCGGGACAGGAGATGAAGAACAGAGGTTAGATTTAAAGGTAAGGACTGCTCAGTAGTGTTTGATAAATTGGATATGCAAGTTTTTAAATTTTTTAATCAGGTATGTACAGGTCTGTAAATGCGACATGTTTTTTTTTTCATATTGTGAAACATGCTGCAAAACAAACTGAGCTAGACTAACTGTGTATTTAAAGGTTGCATGAAAATACTCTGCAGGTTAGTGCAGGATAAACTGGTTAACTTGCTGCACTGTGGTGGATTTAGATCAGCTGATCACAGCAGCTATATTAAGAAAACCTACTGGAGCTCTCAATAGAAATTATTGTGAGCTGCGATTCTTTTTCCCCACGCTGAACCACTACAACTGATATTAGGGTTCCCTCACCTGCTGAATCCCACTTTAACCTCTTCGCTACTCATGTTCCTCATTAGAGGCAAAGTTACCCTCTACAATGTAGGCAACAAAAAACAGAGATATTTTTCATTTTCCTTCTTTTTTTCTGCTCATGTTCTCTTTAACTGATTCAAGCTGAGTATATTTAAGGATTATTTCAATTTACATAAAAAATGTATACTTATATACTAGTATTTTTTATTATCACACTGATATACCACAAGGTTGGTGTAAATGTTCTTCAAGGACCCACTTTTTACTTTTACAGAACATATTGAGAGTCATTAGGCCAGACAACATTTTTCCAATCTTCTGTTGTACAATTTCGGTGAGCCTGTGTGAATTGGAGCCTCACTTTCCTGTTCTTAGCTTGCAGGAGTGGCGTCGAGTCTGATCTTCTGACGTGGCTTCAAGGTCTGAAGAGTTGTGCATTCAGAGATGCTCTTCTTGGTTGTAATGAGTGGTTACTGCTGCCTTTCCACCAGCTTGCAGCAGTCTTTCCGTTCTCCTCTGAGCTCTGATATCAAAGAGGTATTTTCACCCAGGGAACTGTTTTTTGTTTTGTTTTGGGTTTTTTTGTTTTTTTAATCGTTCTCTGTAAATTCTCAAGAGGATTTATTGAAAAATCCCAGCTATGTTCAAAGTCACTTAAATCACCTTTCTTCCCCATTCTGATGCTTGGTTTGAACTTCAGCAGGCCGTCTTGATCATGTCTACATGTCTAAATGCATGTGTGCCCTGGTTGCTGATTTAATGACTAGCTGATTATGTATGTCCTTCAAAAATCAATAACACAAATAAATATTTGACATTCGTACGAGCCACTTTCCAATTTTTTTTCTGCTGTACTTTAATCTTCTAAAGAAATGTCTTATAACCTTATCAACCAGTTTTTAGAGAGATCAGAGTATAGAAAAATTAAAAAAAAAAAAACTTCTATAAATACAGTGACAGATTTTAATAACACAATGGATAAAAATATCATTGCTGTGCCCTGTTTTTAGATTTATTCCCTTTGAAATGGTGCATTTTACATAATCCACTCATTTAAAAGTATTGGTTCATCAAAGGAAAGCTTATGTTCATTGTGTCCAACCAGATGATAGCTTGGCTTAAGGTAAAGGTAATGTCACCTAATAATACTTTGTCTTATTTTGTTTCATTTTACCAGTTTATTAAACTAAAGTCTGTATATTCCGCCTGTTTATGCTTTAAATAGAGTTTATAAAGCACTATGGTTTTTCCATAGAGTATGAAATGTGTTTCATAAAAAACGCCTTGAGCTGAATATAGCATGACAAATGCACTGATAACAATCATACTTACACCAGCCGATAAACAGGAAGACCCACTTTCTCAGCTTATCAGTTGAATATGTCATTACAATGGCTGTGTGAAGGTAGCATCCTTCAACAAACATCCAGAAAAAGTTTGTCACCACAAAGTAGTTGTATATTGTCGTTATTAAGCGACACCAAGGCTGAAAAAAAAAGAATTCAGAAAAGATTTTAAAGACTTTGTATTGGTAAATTAACACCTCAGTGATACTTTCAAACCCCATAACACATCACTGCTGTTACCTCATTGCTCTCATGGATATTGTGGTCAATCAGCTGAAGCAAAAACCACATAACATTCCTCAGTATGAAGGTGGTGATTAAGTTCCAGTGGATGATGTTTCGAAGACATCGTATGCTCCTAAAACAATAAGCCAAACACAGAAAGCTGTTTAAAATGTTTTGAAAAACAAACTCAAGTCAGGTCAGTTTAATTACTGCATCTAGACCGTTTAAGCACACGACACATGAACCAACGTGCTGCACAACAAGTACAATTATCACAGAAACAATACAAAATGATTTAAGAACAAGAAATAAAATATAATTATTTAAGCTACTAAGTTAATGAAATTAATAAATAAAAATGGCACAATAAATTAAAACTACAGTAATTTGAGCTGAAAAGAAAAGCTAATGAGAAAATGTATGTTTTCTGTTGGATTGGGTTACTGAGGAAAATGATCTAATCCAGAAACAGAGACAATTCCAAGGCTGCGACTAAGACAGCAGGGTGATCTGCACAAGCCAATTACTGTAAGACGTTAATCAGCGGACATAAGTGAGTAGGGCTGTGCGATATGACCAAAATCTCATATCCCGATATAAGAATTCTATCGTCCGATAACGATATAAATCACAAAAATGTAACATTTTCTGTAAATTCTGTGAATCTCGGGCAGCTCGACTTGCGTGAAGTGTTTCCAGCTGCGCGTCATGTACCTGGAGTCGAGTGTTTTAACAGATGCATGAAACGACACATTTTTAGACATAAGTTGTAACAGCCGCCGTTTTCTTTGTGAGTATTTATTACACGGCGTGCTGCGGGGAAAAGCCTGTTCTAACGTTTCAGTCTAAGGTTTATTTTTTAGCACCTGGCTGCTTTTTTACTTCTCATCCGTAAATAATCTACTCTTTCACGTGATTCAGTTTATTTTGAAAAGTCTCAACAGGATCTTGAGCTTTATTGTGAAAGGTTTATGTGGAACATAAACAAGCGGACACGCGATGGTGTTACCGTCGTTGTCGCTAACGACAACACATAAAAACAGGCGCTTGTCCATCCATAGTGTTATATTAAATATAAGAGAAAGAGAGAACTTTAAGAAATTAATATAGCCAGTACAGTGACCATCAAAACGATGAAAAAATATTGCCATAAACAGTTTATTTTGTGACACCACGTAACAAACAATAGCATAAAATGTCTTGATGCATTCTCAATCATCCAGGAAAATAAATCTCCAAAAGTTGAATCTGTTCATCTGGACGTAGCGTATTCTGGGAGAAACGTTTTGTCACTCATCCAAGTGACTTATTCAGTCTCAGCTGACTGCAGGTTTCCCCAAATCTTATAAAACAGTACATTTGCATAATGACTGAAACCAGCCCTCTGAAGGAACAATGGGCTGTGAGGTCAGTTCCTTAATCATAATTATGCAAATTCTCATGACCATTGATCAACAACCACTGACCAAAACCCACTGATCAAAGACCACTGATCAATGGCCATGAGTACCATTCACAGAGAGTTGGGGAATGACTGCAATCACAGCATTGTAAGATGGCGAAAGATGTACTCCCCACCTCCCCACCTCCCCATATCCTCCCCACCAGGGAGGATATGAAAAGTGGCAGGTTAGCGTTCTTAGACTGTGAGATTTCCATCAGTAATGGGGGACATCTAAAAGCTGACGTGTACCGTAAACCTACACATACGGATCAGTATCTAAGGTTTGACTCTCATCATCCACTGGAGCAGAAACTGGGTGTCATCAGGACGCT